TTAAAGAAGCAAATCACATCTACAGTTTGCATTTACCAGGAGATGTTAGCTTTAACTAACAAAATAGCTGAAAACAGGTACCCTCCAACAAGAATATTGCTGAAAAAACTAATTTCCACCATCTGGAAATTCTGCAAAAATAGTTCAAATGTGTAATTAAATTCAGATGCTCATTTCTAATGTATAAAAAGTCAATCTAGAAAGTTTGAAAGCTCTGGGTTGAAACCTGTAGAGGAGTTTGTACTCTCCATCAAAAATGCTACAGAAAATTTCTTCGATGTATATACAAACATTCTAGAACAATTGATAATAATGGGTGGAAAACTACATGGAGTACATTGTACAAGACTTCCAATCAATATATTTTCCTTGAAAAACTTGACGTAAAAAAAAATATATCTTCACGCCACAATGTCCTATGATACATTTTCCCCCCAAATGACCTCAGGTCAACCATGGCAGTTCATTCATAAAACTGAAATTGGAAAGTAGTCTATCAAGTATTGATATACTAAATATACTTTCATCAAAAAGCTGCTAATAATTGAATAAGTTTCACCATCTAGAAAATTTGCAAAATTCTGCAAATGTGTACACAAAGTGAGGTGCATATCTTCAATGAAAGTTTGATGATGTTAGTTAATAATTGAATGAAGAGTTGACCATGCAAGTTTCAATATTGTCTCTGTTAACTCCACGAGTTGATTAAGCAAGATGAAAACCCGCCAACAAGAAAGTTGTTCTACAACTTGTGCAGACTTATACAAATACTTACACAATGGAAAGAGCAGATCTTCAATGTACTGGTATATACAAAAATTCTAGAAAGTTTGAAAGCTCTAGGTTAATACCTTTAGGAGAAGTTGATAACAGAAAATAGGTACACATTCATCTGTCATGGCACACCATGCTATAAGCCAGTTTTTCCTGTAACCCCATAAAAATGTTAACAAAAACCTTAACAAAATGAAAATTTTGTAAGAAGTAGTTTTTAGTTTTAACATAAAATGTACACTTCATCAAATAAATATTAATGAAACACCTATAAATAGCCAAAAACCTAAATCAGAGAGGTATATATTCAAGATCTTCTCTCTAGAAAACTGCTAGTATCATCCTTGAAAAAATCAAACTCAAATACAAGATAATTTTAAAAAGGGTATATCTTAAGATTATTGATGATAACAGAATGATGTTATACATATTAAATTATCACATGTATTTTCGTCCCACTGAGACTTTTTTCAATTTATTTCAAAATCACTCTTACAGAACATTATATTATATAAATTGAAAAGATGAACAAATAAATGCCCTTTTATATATGTACAAACATATGTATACTATGTATTAATTCTTTTATTTTACATTGTTAACTTAACCTTTTTACAACTTTTCATTTGAGTTTTCTTGTATGTAATCACAAACTAATTGCGTTTCCTGTGGGCCTGAGGGAAGAATTGAAGTTAATTGTACAAACAATTGTGGTAACCTTTATATGAAAAAAAAACCGAATTATTAATATTATCAATTTTATCATTATTATTATCATCATTAATAAAACCGCTTCAGTTTCCACAATAAAATTCAACTTAAACCGTAGGCATGTTGTTTGGGTTAAGTAATCTTTTAACAATGTTACCTTCTTTTAAATATTTCATGTGATCTTTTTAACATGCTAAATCAATACACATCAAATGTAACTATTCATCTAGCATTACTAATAATGAATAAATTACATGTACCTGAAAAATCACCCCATGAGAAGAGATATTGGGGGAGATTCCCGCTACACATATGCTGTGGGTTAACAGGTATGACTAGTCTTCTGTCTTGTCAAACATAACATAAATTGTTAGATATATTCATCAGAGACAGGTCGAATATTTGACCCTTACATATAAACACAAACTTATCAATAGAAAAACATGACAAGACATGCAACCACTGAGACAATTCATGGCTTCAGACAAGTATTTATGACATGTTATGTAAATCTGAGGTTGAGGCTTATATAGTTCAATTGAGCTACATATAAGCTCAACGGAGATATAAAGTGTTTATCCCTCTGCAAATTTTCTGATGAAATTTCTATTTGTCACTTATTATTTAGAAGTGTAATCTGAAACTTTGCAGAAACAAGTTAGAAGCACAAGCGAATGTAATGATACGATGAATTTTATTTTTACTGTGAAAAAATAATCCCCAAAAAATATTGAGATAAAAGTTGAATTTTTGTATACAGATATATTGGAATAAGCTTTTTATTATGACTAAAATATTTTCATTCATAAATCCCAAAAATAAAGTTATACCATATATGATTTTATATACTTCATATTCACAACATTGTATGTGTTCCAATTTTCATGGCGAAAACATAACTTGAAGTTTAGAGTGATACTTCATTTTTTGGTTTCAAATTTACTACTAAGATATCAATTAGGAATTTGATTTAATTTTGTGGTTTTTCAATTGGAAATTGCATTGAAAATCAAAGGATGAAAAGTGTTTTTCTCTTTTAAAAAGATGTTTTGAACCAATTCAAATAATGACAATATCGTATCTTATGAATGACAAAAGAAATCAACAAATCCACAATGAAATGAAAGCATTCACATGAAGATGAGTTCACACTCATTTGCAGAAAAAAATCATACACTGATATGTACTAAATTAGTCATAAGAAATACTACCACACATTTTGAAACTGAACATAAAAGTCATATACAGAACACCTGATTGTTCCCCATGATATATAGTCCTTGATGGACATGCATGACATAATCAGGTCATTGACCTTTTACACCTAACATGTTACAAGTACATGTATATACAAAGGTTATTGACTATTTTCATTTGAAACGTTAAAGAACATACAAGAGTACTTTTAAAAAGTGTGCTACATCAATCTTTATATCTCAGGCGATTTTTCCTTTTCTCTAAATTGGTTCTGAATAAAGTGGCAGTGAAGAGTTGACAAATAAGTAGATATAGGAAGATGTGGCATGAGTGCCAATGAGACAACTCTCCATCCAAGTTACAATTTATAAAAGTAAACCATAGGTCAAGGTACGGCCTTCAACACGGAGCATTGGCTCACACCGAACAGCAAGCTATAAAGGGCCCCAAAAAATTACTAGTGTAAAACCATTCAAACGGAAAAACCAACGGTCTAATCTATACAAAAACGAGAAACGAGAAACACGTATGAACTACATAAACAGACGACAACTACTGTAATCAGATGTACATTTACATGAAAAAACTGTCAAAAGTTGAGAAATCTATTTAACTTTTCTTGTCAACTGACATTATACCATATTTCAGTAGCTGTTGTTTCCTTTGTGATGAATTTCTTGCATTAAGCTGACAAGTGGTAAAAATTTTACAGAACAAAGGGCAAAATATCAAATAATGATATACAAATATCTAAATTTTCTGATTTCTGTCTCCTAACCAAATCAATGCATGTACCATATGACTACTATGCCTTCTGTTTTGAGATATGATGATGCTACCAGGATACTTATTTCCCTGTTTTATCATTTGCTCTGAGCAAAGTGACAAGGAAATTGTATTTATATGAAATTCAACAATTAAGTTACCATGTAATTGTATTACTTTTGTACTTTGCTATTTGCAGTCTATCAAACATTCATTTAAAGAGGATTTCTGACTTTAAAAAAATGGTATCTCACTACAGTAATAAACCCATACTAATGAAATAACTTGATTTATTTTTAAAATTCACAAATTTTAATTCTCCAGGTTGTGATGGTAGCTTCCATTTATTTATTTCAGAAATGAAGAAATCTCTATACTATGTCAAGGTCAAATGTTACACTTTCTACCCCAGCTAGTTGCAGTCACCATTATTTGAATATATGTTAGAGTTTGATCTGTGAAGTGAACAAATTAAGGTCAAAATATTGGATTTTATATAATGTAGAATGTCTAAGCTACTTGAAAGGTTGTTTGAGGTATTCAATTTATTTATGATTGATGTCGTTTCAGTCTGTTAATTTTAAATATGTTACTTAAAAAACATTAAAAAAAAATTATTTCCAGCTTTTATAAAAAATTTCCCAATAGAATTATTCCACCTTGAAGGTTAAAAAAGTTGTCACCTAATTGTTAAATTTAAATTATAATTATATGTCACAAAACTACTATTAAAAAAACATCAAATGCCAGAATTAGGTCTGCACTTTATCAGTTGCATAAAATATTAAATAATTATTTGAAGTAATGGTTTAAAACTTAGTCTTGGTGTAAGGTAGATAATGCAAAGGATACTTTCTAATGTTGAATTCACATAACAAGGGAGATAATTTTGAAAATAATTCATTGTTCATTTCAAATTCTTTGACTACATTCAAAAAGTAAAATAACAAAAATACCTAACTCCAAGGAAAATTCAAAACAGAAAGTCCTTAATCAAATGGCAAAATCAAAAACTCAAACACATCAAACGAATGGATAACAACGGTCATATTCCTGACTTGGCACAGGGATTTTCTTAAGCCATCTTCAGTAATAATTTGTGAAAAGTTTGTCCTATTATGAGAGTTTATCCATCGTCTTTATAAATCATATAAATTACAATTGGCATGTATGGAAAAAACACTTTAAACAGATATCCAACAAAATCCTGTCACATTTGATGGAAATTGATCAAAGCAAGTTATATGTAAAACTTTTCACCTTAGGCCATTTGATCAGATGTTCTAGCTGTTAAACTAAAATCTGCAAAAATGTTTAAAATGAAATTAAATGTAGCATTGTACTGTAAAAAAGATTAGTAAATAAAATGATGTTCAAATGTTAAGGAAGAACTATAGATGGATAACAAACACCAAGAGATAAAGGTTAAATAGTTTGTGTGTATCTAAGGCTAACGTTGCTGATATTTTTTCAATAACTCCAAGAAACCTCTGCCAAAAAGCTGAGCAGTGAATGCAAAAATATCGGTTCAGTTTACTACAAATTCCACATACCTCTATCATTCAGTTTTGAGTAGAATGTAGTAAAATTCCAGTTCGGATCTTGAGGATATTTGTATGATGTGATGATATAACCTTCATGGCTACTGTCTAGAAATTCCTCGAAACCAAAGTCTTTCATTCCTTCTCTAAGGATGTTTCTGTTCTGTTTGTACCTTTTGAGAGAGAAAAAAATATTGTGATTTAAAAAAATAAGATAAATAGGTTCTTACAAAAACTGATATTGAAAGTCAGATTTTTTCCACAAGTTTGAGCATTTCAGTCTTTTCTTAAGGTTTTTGTAAACTGCTGAAACTTGTCATACATGTAATACTGTGGATTAATTTATTTTTGTGGGAATCAATTCTCATGGGTTGAGGAAAACTTACATTTTCGTGGATATTTAATATTTCGTAGTTTAGCCAAAGTCTGCATACAAGCCTATAGATAATTTCTAATTCTTTGAACATTTAAATTCGTGGTTAACCTGTACTCACTAAATCCACGGAAATTGGTAACAAATGAATAATAATAAATCTACAGTACCAGAGAATATCTTCAATTTAATATGGCAATTCAGATGGACATAAACACCCATAGATTTTCCTTCTTTTGCTAATGGGTAAACATGTTTCTTCCATACAGATAGTTTAATTTTAGATTTGCAACTTGAGAGCACAACAATGGCATTATTCCTAAATAATTTAATTTTGGATGAAACACGTCTTCTGATTGGCTGAAAGTGTTTTGTCTATCAAATCATAGACATAATTTTGTCATGTGACCGCGACGTCATCAACGTTTTTATCATGATTTACTCCTTTTTAGAATTAAATTATAAGGAATGACTTTAATATTTTTCTGTCTATTCGAAATAACATAAAAAATGTGGTGCACACTTTAAAATAACCCGCTACACGGGTTATTCAGTGTGCACCACATTTTTTATGTTATTTCTTCATAGACAGAAAAAATATTACAGTCATTCCTTAAGGAACCTACCAATAAAATGACATCAGTAGGAATCAATTACCAATCACAGCAATTGAAATGATCAGTTTACTGCAGGAGACAATTAAAAGTTTACCAAAGTCATTACAAAAATGTTGATCATACAAACCTAGTTTTTTTTTCAATCTTGTTATTATTTATTGTATAGGTTTAATTCTTTAGAATTTTTCATGCAAGTAAATTTTTTTTCTCTCAGATTTCATATAATAAGTTTTAGTAAATATCATGGGCTACACAAAAACTTGTAGAAGAATTTAAATGCATTCCAAAACACACACACAGTATTAAAGCTAGTTGTAAAAAAGTAAATTGTCTGGATAAATAAGTTTCAAATAAGATAAAGTTAGGAAGAATGATTGTCTTTAAGTATAGGAATAATTCTATTGAAGATGGTCAAAGCAGAGAGGATCTTGAATGTTGTGTGTCAACATAATAAGATGAATTTGTTTTTATGTTGAGATTATTCTGCATTAGCTTATTAGATGGCCATCTCAGATTTATGCTGAATAGATCCACAGCTTACTCAGGTCACTTCATTACTTTTATCATTACTTCAGTTTCTTGTGATGACATGTTGTATCTAGTATATGAATAAAACGCTTCAATAAATTTTTCTCATCTGGAGATATTCTTAAACACAATAAAATGTCATTACTGACATTAAAAGAGCTTCGTTCTGGATTTTACTGCATACCTATCTCCACGACCACTAACTCCTCCTTCTTCTTCAAACTCCTTTATAGCCTGTAAAAATGCCAGCATTGTATGCGTAGGAGGTGTAAATCTGAACTGATTTGTTTTCTCTAAATTATCATATTGGTCAAATAAATCTAGACTGAGACTACGAGAATTACCTGTAAAAATAAATTTGTAATAAAATATAATAATTATCATCTAAATTGCATAAAATAAAACAATTTTAGTCTGTATTATACTTTGATACTAAATATTTGTTCAGTGGGATTTCAATTTTTTAAAACATGAATTCTGAAACTAGTCAACCAGACTGTTCCAGGGCAACAGTTTTGGGTCTGTGTGATAAACAAATAACTGTTGATGGCAAGTTTGCATTCAATTGGTTAATAACATCACTCAGACTTAAGCTGAAGTTTTTTAGCAAAAGGTGTGATAAAATTAATTTTTATCATTAGGGGAATTTTGCGTAAATGGCAGATCTTTGATATCCTTTGTTAAATTTATTCACATCATTTAGGTTATTAAGAGATTGACATATTGCATCGACCCCTTTTGGTTGAATACAGGATGTTGATCTCTAAATTTTTTTGTTTTTAATGTCTTTAGGTTGTTGTGTCATCGGTGTGTATACCATGCATCTTCTTTTATTTATATTTTATATCCTTAGTCTATTGTTAGGGGTAACAGTTTGGTCTTCTAGTTTCACAAAAGTAATATTCCCTAATCCAGTCTATAATGTATAATGTTAACTTTTTATTCAGCATTTTTGCCCTAATTAACTCTGAAAATAAAAATATACTCTTCCACATATTATGAGACATGTCCATTTTACCATCCTGCGCTGAGCTTGTAAAAAAAATGGATTGGAAGTGAAAACCTTCAAAAATCTTCAATTAAAATTTTACACTTGGTATTGATATATGTTGTTCTGATTTTAAAATCATGAAAACACTGATTTCTAATTTTTGAGCTAAATAAGCAATCTTCATAAAATTACCATTGCAATTCAGTAATACTGATTTCTTAGCAATAGCATAAGAAAATCCTGGAATTCCTTGAAGGCATTTGTTGGCAGAACTGACTAGAAAATCAATATTTCCATTTAACATGTCCAGTGGTACAGCACCAAAACTACTCATAGCATCGACAAAGAAAATACAATCTGAAAAATATAGGTAAAGAAGAATGACAATGATGAAATTTGTTGTATTAACAAAACTATAACTATAACCTACACATATAAATCAACTTTTGCTGTAAAAATGGTCAAATATTTCATACTACCTTCCAGACCATGTGTTAGCATTCAGGTTGCTGCTTAAGGAGGCATAAGGGTCCAGCATTGTCAATGGTAAAGTTGAGGTCAGCTCTTCAAAGCTCATTTTATTGACTGCTATGGCATATCTGTCACAAATGACCATAGATATGTTAATTTTTTTGCAGCCATCACCCATTCTCTTTTCCTTCTTCATTTATTACACTTACCCTCTGATATAACTTATCACTGGATATATCTTGTCATCTGGCAACTGGTTCCACCGTGGAAACCAGAACATGTAGAAATTTGCTGTCATTGTCACAAAACTTTTGAATTGGTTGAATGTTATTGGATATCTGTGTCCCAGATTACCAGGGATATGTTCTTATTGTTGCAGCTACAATCCCATCATTCTGGGTGATTTCATCAAAGAATTTGAATTATCACCAGATGTTTGCTAGTCATAAGAAGGAGAAGAAACTGCTTACCTTTTCATAACTCGAATAATTCAAGCCCTTACCGTTTCCGATGCTCTACACCTTTCAAGTAATGTAGTGATCGATAGGGAGCGTAATATAACGACTGGATTATTCGGGTTTACCTTTTCAGAGGATCTGGGTTCACCATTGTTTTTTGTGGGGTTTTGCTAAATTTCTAAATTTCTGTGTAGTTATTTGTGGAATGTTATTTTTTTTTCTCTTCTGCTCATGATGTCTTCTTATCATGTTATATAGTATTTAGTTTTTAGAGAATAAAGTACACATGTATATATCTATCAATATATGATGCTTACCTTCAATGTTCTACTTCTGATCATATGCTTTACTTTAATGTAGCAAATATTTGTCAAAATTACTGTTTCTATTATGTGAACTTGATATTTTTAATTCTTTTCTATGGTACAAATGTATTCTTTTTCATGAGATGAAAAAGTGATGATTTAAAACAATCCTGTTTGAAAGTATTTTAAAGGCAAATAAAACACAGATGCCACAGTTGCAATATGTTTCAGCCAAATGTTGATATTTAGGATGTGTTTCATTATTTTCCTTATTAACAAATTATTAGTCTGATCAATCCAACCTTTTAGCAACAGCATATAAGCAGAACATTTCATATATGAATCAGTAAAAAACTGCTTTAATGTTGGAGTTTATTTTTTTTTTTGGTACAAAACATAAAATTGGCTCTTGTTACTTAAAATTATATAAAAAAAATTATATTAGGCCAAAAAAAATATAGTTTTGTTTCCTGCCTTCCAATGAGACAACTATGCACCAGTGTCCAAATAACATAGATGTAAACAACTAAAGGTCACTTTACAACTTTGAAAACTGTCGAAGATGTTTGAAGTAAATCATCAGAATTACATCCTGAACACTCAAAATAACACAAAGTAGAACTTTTTCCTTAAAACAAAATAGCACTTTTGGTAAAATATCTTACAGATTTTCAAGCAAGATGGAATATAAAATGTTTTATAAAATTGCAGACATGCAACAATTTTAATGACTGGCAAAGGACTGGAGAAGCAAACATTTTAAATACCTGGAATGATTTGCTTGACAACTTTTCCTACATCTTCTACAGGATTTATAACACCTGAACTTGTTTCACAGTGAACTATACTAGTCATTGTAAACGATTTGTCCTTAGATAAAATATCTGCTACCCGATTGACATCAACCTTAGAGTCCTCTGAAAAACTTTCCAATTGATAGGGTACACTCATTACATCACATATCTTTGCCAACCTCTTTCCATACGCTCCATTCTGTAGTATGAGCACCTATCAAGTTAAAATATAGTGACATACAATTGACATCAAATAAATCAGAAAATCTAAAAAGGTATGGTATTAACTATCATTTGGTATCAATTTTCATTGATTTTGAACCATGAAAACGAAAACATTTTTAAATACAATATTTTACCACAAATAAAAAATTCAGGAAGCTGCAATAAGATTCAAGGATTTATCAGCAATCTACCAAAATTGAGACCCCAAAATAAAATTTCTTTCACAGTACTCTGCAAGTAAAAGAATGACTGGCCAATTTTGATCATATAGGATTAGCATAAAAATATGTTCATAGTAAACATATATTAACACGCCCTGAAAATTAACCTGGAATTAACAAACAACTGCATATATCTGAATGGGTTGGAAATGTTAACAATATCTGTTAATATCTTGTCTATCAACTATTCTAAAAAATTATTCTTATCACTGTAAAATTTAAGGCATATCTGTAGAGGCCTTTGATTTTTAGGTAAGTTTTGAATTTATCTGAATTTTATAAAAGACTGAAAGCTTGTGACATTTCAAGGAAAACCCTATGAAGTGTATCAAAAACAAGTTCCTTTCATCAAAGTGAAGGACTAAATTGCAGATAGTTTCATACAGAATTATCATACTCGTAGCTGTCCCAAACTTTGCTGGTGAAATTTACAGTTCAAATATAAGATTGGTCAGCGTTGCTTTTTGAACTTTCAATTGACTTTAACAAATATAAGGATAGATAAAACAAGTCTTTAGTAATCATTAATCTATTGTGAGGCACCAGCTTTATTCAATACAAGGCAAAGCTTTCAACATTCATTGAACTTCAATGATCAATTTATCTACTCTGTTTAACAAAACAATACATTTCAATAATCAATAGTGAAACATATGTTTTGGAACCATGTTTTACAAACTTAAAAATCTTTATCTGTTAAGTGTCAACTTATCACGCGAATTAAGCTAATAATAAATTAGGATTAAACACATCTTAATTTCAATCTCAATTCATTTGAAAAAAAAACTAAGTTTTAAAGTGCTGAAAATAATTATATTTGTCATTATTTTATTAAATCATTTTATTTAGCATGCTGTACATTGTTATCTTTGTACAGAATTATGTGCATTTATAATTCATCATGTTATAATTATTTTTAAATCATGTTCTCTCCTGTAAAACCAGACATTATACAACATATAACCAAGTTTTATTTTTTTTTATCTCTGTGTCATTATTATTTCTCATGCGACTGTATACTCTGCTGAAGAAAAATTGTTTTAGATAAACTTGGAAATTTATCCATACCATTTCAAGATGTGTATTTTTCAGATCATTTGACTTGTTTCTGGGTTAAATAATTGCTATTTGTAAATTATCTCTATATTAGTATTTCTGAGGAATTATACATTCACTGAGACAACCAAATATGTGGCATAAACAACGAAAGCCAAGAACACATGAGGAGATACAAAAGAGAGCAACTAATATTTGTGTCATAAATACCAAAAGTCAAAAACAAATGAGAAGATAGAACAGACAGCAACAAACATGTGTGGCATAAACACCAAAAGCCAAGAACACACAAGATCGAAAAGACAGCAACAAACATATATGACATAAACACCATATGCCAAGAACACACGAGAAGGTAGAACAGACAGCAACAAACATACGTGGCATAAACATAAAAATCCAAGAACTCATGAGGACAAAGAAAAGACAGCAGCAAACATATGTGGCATAAACACAGCAGCAAACATGTGTTGCATAAACACAGCAGCAAACATATGTGGCATAAACACAGCAGCAAACATGTGTGGCATAAACACAGCAGCAAACATATGTGGCATAAACACAATAAAATGCTTCACTGAGCGCAGCCTGATATGACCGCAGAGGTCAAACCCTGAACAGTTTGGGCTAGTTTGGACACAATATTCAAGCTTGATACTGTCTGAATTTGGATTGTGATCAAATTTTTGACATAATATAGGTTTCTGACACACAAAAAATGTGGTCAAAGATCTTAAAAATTTGAAATGGGACATTTAATTTACCTAGAATGGTCTGATATCCAAAATCTAACAACATGGTTAGATTCAGCATATAAAAAAAACACCAATAACTTAATTTTAGTTGAAATCAAACAAAGTTTAATTTTGGACCCTTCAAACCTTTATATGAACTAATTTGAAAACAGGGCCAAAAATAAAAATCTAAATGCACAATAACATTCAGCAAATCATACAGCCGCAATAATTCAGTTTTTAATGAAATCAAACAAAGTTTAATTTTGGACCCTTTCGACCTCAATGTAGACCAATTTAAAAATGGGACCCAATATCCAAAAAAATTATACAAGGTTAGAACCCCAAAAAATTAAAGACTTAATTAATCCCATCGAAATTGGTTAAAACATTTGTATTTGTTTTCAATTGAAGATTTCTTGCTATTGCGCAATACTGTGCAATTGTAGATTTCTTGCTATTGCCCAATACTGTGCAATTGAAGATTTCTTGCTATTGTGCAATAGAAGATTTTTTGCTATTGCGCAATACTGTGCAATTGAAGATTTCTTGCTATTGTGCAATACTGTGCTATTGTGCAAAACTGTGCAATTGAAGATTTCTTGCTATTGCCCAATACTGTGATATTGCACAATACTGAGCTATTGCGCAATACTGTGCAATTGAAGATTTCTTGCTATTGTGCAATACTGTGCAATTGAAGATTTCTTGCTTTTGCCCAATACTGTGCTATTGGGCAATACTGTGCAATTGAAGATTTCTTGCTATTGCGCAATACTGTGCAATTGAAGATTTTAAACATTTGAAATTTCAAAAATTTTGAAGAAAAAAAAAATGAACCCCCCCCCAAAAAAAAAATTGGAAAAAAAAAATCCCCCCAACTTTTTGAACCCCCCAACCCCCTTTTGGAGTAATTACCCCCAAACTCAATCCCAGCCTTCTCTTTATGGTATGGAACCTTGTAGTACAATTTTAGAGAGTTCCATACACTTAAACACAAGTTATTGTCTGGAAACTAGAAAAATGCTTGTTTTTGGTCCTTTTTTTGCCCTTAATTCCTGAACATTTGGGGCAATTAACCCCAAACTCAATCCCAGCCTTCCCTTTGTGATATGGAACCTTGTGGTACAATTTCAGAGAGATCCATACAAATACACACAAATTATTGTCCGGAAACCACAAAAATGCTTGTTTTTGGCCCCTTTTAGGCCCCTAATTCCTAAACTGTTGGTACCATCACCCCCAAAATCAATCCCAACCTTCCTTTTGTGGTATTGAACCTTCTGGTTTAAAATTTATAGAGATCCTTTCACTAAAACTAAAGTTATTGTCCGGAAACCAAATGTGTCTTCAGATGACGCAGACGACGACATCATAGCATTATACGATGCAAAAAATGTTTTGCAGTCGTATAAAAAGCAAAGAACACATAAGAAGAAAGAAAAGACAGCAGCATACATATGTGGCATAAACACCAAAAGCCAAGAATACATGAGGAGAAAGAAAGACAGCAACAAACAAATGTGGCATAAACTCTAAAAGACAAGAACACATGAGATAGAAAAGGCAGAAACAAATATATGTGGCATTAACACCAAAAGCCAAGAACACATGAAATAGAAAATACAACAACAAGCAGCTAAGAGATTCATGAACTTGGGTAGGTACATCTACTTATTGCACTCCCAAAATTAATAATTTGATTACAGCATTACCAGTGCAGTTTATTTATTTTTTCACTCAGTGAACAATTAAGTTTGACTGTAATGAAAGATATTGTCATGTCACAATAAGATGCACAATCATTTAAATGTATCATTTTGTTCAACTGTTTCCACAGAGGAGAAAATGTTGGTGATGAAAATTTAAAAAAAAATTAAATTAGTAGACCTGATGACAATAAAATGAAAGGAATAAATAAATAAATACTTTACACTGGAAAATAAAGGTGCTTATTGCATATAAACTACCTTTCCTCCCTGTCTGGGGACAGCTGTTTGGAATACAGCCTCCACAGCAAAGGTTCCACTGCCCTGTATTGGTACACATGTAAATTCATCTTTGGATACTTCTACAAGCAAAAAAAAAATGCAAGTCAAACTCTAGTTCATGTGAATTGTCTTTTCCTTTGGATATAACACAACAAATCCACAAAAGATAGTATTTCACATCGTCATGTTAAAAAGGGTTAAAAAACATTCCCTTGAATTTGGAAATTGTAGGAAATAAACCCTGCATTTCATTGCAGAAATATTTTTCTGAGTTATAAACATATATCTTCTGTATTTCAAAGCACCATCCGGTTTTTATTTGGTGCTCCTATAAAATATTTTTGAAACTTGAGGTGATATGGTTACTAAAGCTTGTAAACAGGAAAAAAAGGATAGCAACTTGCTTGGTTTCTTCTGGTGATATTCAATGAAATGTTAAATGGAATTTTCACTGTAGTACTAGACAGGATAAAACTTTACTCATGCCAAGTATTTCTTGTTTTGAAAAAAAGATCAATTCTGCAAATTTTTTTAAAATGTCAATTCAACAAAGACTAATAGGGAAAAATAATGGGGGCATTACCCCAATACTGTCATGCTAAAATTCTTATACTGTAAAGTGGTTTATTTCTACAGAGTTTAACCATATTTCTAGGTAAAATCTTAGTTTACAAAATATTATTTTGACAGGTTTTTTTATCCTGACTCTGATCTTCTTTTAAGATTTGATTTACTTGAATAGATATTTTTCTTGATTTTGACTTTATAGTCAATCTGATTTAAATACAGATCCTGTGACTCTTTTCATAAAAAATCTTATGATTAAAATTGATCGTAAGTTATACTGAAATGTGTGTGACATACAAGTATTTTTACTTTTAAGATTTTTTGTGAAAAGAGCCACTGAGTCCAAGCTTTGCTAAGAAGGTTTTAATAGCACTTCGTTCTACTTTCTGTTCTGGTAATTATTACACCAGCCAATGAAATTTCAGTCTTAGGACTTTTTAGGACTCTTTAGGACAAACTGGATGACCCTGAAATGTCTTTAAAAAGTAGAATGCAGTGTTATCCTATCCTTGTAAATGAAGTGGGAATACAGAGTCTGTATTTCAATCAGATTGCTTAAATGTTAAACCATATAGGGAGCTACCATGTGATTTTTATGGGGGGGGGGGGGGGGGGGGGGGAGATAAAATTTGAAGAAAAAAAAGCAGGACAGGAGTTTTGAGAAAAAAAAAGGCAGGATGACAATTTATGTAAAAAAAGTCAGGATAAGCTAATAAAGAAAAGGCAGAACCGAATAGAGTGAAAAAGAAAAATGCAGGACTGAGATTACAACTAAAAAAAATGCTGGACAAAATTTTTCATCCTAGCCCCCATAAAAATCAAATGTTAGCTCCCTGTTAAAACAGATGTAAAATAAACATCAATTACTCCAACCACCCTTAAACACAATGAATCTAGAATTAGAGAAGAAATTAAGACTTTAGGAATAGTATTGTAAAATTAATGTAATTATCTATTTCAGATCTAGCAGACTGTAATAACTGATTTGATATTTTATAATACCTGCTATCTCTACTAGTTTTGATCTGAGAGTTTTAATTGCTGCAATAAATGCTACATCTCTAGAACCATATTCTGTAAATGCTGCTTGTCTGACTGTTGGAGACGTAGATAATGGTCCTGGTGTAAATAACTTTTTTTCTGAAAAAAAAATTATATCATATCTTTGAGCATTTTGTATATAGACATGATAGAAAATGTTTGTTCAGCAAATCACTCTGTAATTTTGGTAAGACTATGTGTACATTTGAATTACATTACAAAGTATTTTTGTTCAGCATTTGTGTATGTTACAATCATCTTGAAGTTTTGTTCAGTCTATGTAGCATTATAATTACATTGTAATCTTTTAAGTCTAAATATGGGGGAGGGGGGATATGAAGATACCAAGGTGCCAATCAAAAGCCATATGCTGAGAGAAGACAGACAAATACCTTGGCCAAAAGAAACTAGTATGTTCATTTTCAACAATGGCCACTTTCCAAACTTAAAGATTAGAATTAAATTCATAACTATTATCTTTTTGCTGATAAGTCTTTTCTGTTTTCATTTTCTCTCTATCTATTATAGTTTTTGCTTAATATTCAAAAATTAGGTAAAAATCACCATTAAAGGGAAATAATTCCTTTATGGAGTCAATGGACTATTTCTGCCACCTTGACAAATTTATAGATCTTGTTCTGTTGATAAGGAGTCATCTGACAGTTTTTGGGTAAATGGACAGTAGGTAAATCCCAATCCTCTGAATATTTCTGCCCCTGTCAGATTTTCTCCATCTACAACGGTTTTCAAGATAATAGACTTAACTTGCATTTTACACCTATATTCTATTTTAAGTCATGTCTGTCATGTAGATTGAAAGACAGGATCATTGGACACATTTTCTAAACAATTCACTCCAAGAATGATGATGGCCAAGTTTGATTCCATTTGGCCCAGTCTTTTCAGAGGATCAGATTTAAGTAAAAAAATTAAACAGATGAGGACGACAATGGACAACAACATGAGTGCTAAAAATAATATTTGCTTTTCAAAAGGGAAGGTAGCTCTAAGTGATGATACCCCCGCCGAAATATTTCAGTAAAAAGGTAGTTGTTGAGTGATGAATCTGAAAACGCATCACACGGTATAGCTGACTTCTATAAACCCTGAAACCAAATTTCAGAAATCCTTGTCAAGTAGTTCCTGAGAAAAAAGTGACGAAAATTTTCAACTTGGCTATCATGTGTAAAATAATACAAGTGTTCGGTAAACAGGAAGTTGTTGAGTGATGAATCTGAAAACGCATCACATGGTGTAACTTACTTATATATAAACCCTGAAACCAAATTTCAGAAATCCTTGTCAAGTAGTTCCTGAGAAAAATGTGACGAAAATTTTCAACTTGGCTATCATGTGTAAAATAATACAAGTGTTCGGTAAACAGGAAGTTGTTGAGTGATGAATCTGAAAACGCATCACACAGTGTAACTTACTTATATAAACCCTGAAACTAAATTTCAGAAATCCTTGTCAAGTAGTTCCTGAGAAAAATGCGACAAAAATATTCATGGGACGGACTGACGGATGGACTGACGGATGGGTGGACTGACGGAAGGACAGACAGAGGTAAAACAGTATACCCCCACTTTTTTAAAGCGGGGGTATAATTAAAGTATAATCCATAGATCTCTTGGACAACATTGGCTTTCAGGCAATATATGGAATAACATCAAGAAAAAGAAATTTTTGAAAAACTAAACTTAATACAGCCATATCTGACAAACTGAAAGCTAAATTCTGAATAAGGTAAAACGACAACAAGGTAGTTTAAATGGGTGCTAAGAAAGATAAGAGGAACTATGGAAAAGAATTTCCATAAGAAGCAGAGGAGGCATCAAAGAGAGCAGAACTCAGTGTGTAAAATCTCCCAGCAGTTTTACAGAAAGTCAAGCAACAGTGATACACCAAAGATAGGAAGCTACTAACCTGACAAAGAAAAATTAGAGTTATCATGTGAAAAACTACATTATATCTATTCACTAACATTTTAATAAATAAGGTAATACCAGAAGATTGGGATAAAGGCCGCAAGTCAGGAGCCTGTAATTCAGTGGTTGTCATTTGTTGCTGTATGTCATATTTGTTTTTTGTCTATTGTTTTGTACATAGATCAGGTTGTTAGTTTTCTCATTTGAACTGTTTTACATTTGTCATTTCAGGGTCTTTTATAGCTTACTATGCGGTATGAGTTTTGCTTATTGTTGAAGCCATACAGTGACCTTTAGTTGTCAACTTCAACATTGTTTGGTCTCTAGTGGAGAGTTGTCTCATTGGCAATCATACCACATCTTCTCATTTTTATAATTGTGAAACTAGACTTGAAAGGAGATCTGAAACTACATGTAGCAACTGGCAAGGATTATCACTACTTTTCATTCCTAACAAAGTATTCCTCAGACTCATCAAGAATAGAATTACTGATGCCATCTAGAGTAAGCTTTGTGAAGAACAAGCAGGTTTCAGAAAGAACAGAATGAGAGGCTGTATAGATTATCTATTCCCTCTCTGTAACCAGGGATGGGGTCCATTACTTTAAAATGTAATTGATTAAATCACAATTACTTTGCTATTTTAATGTAATAGATTACATTACAATTACACCTGATTTCAAATGTAATTGATTACATTAGATTACTTATCTTTAAAGTAATCATGATTACTTTGGATTACTTATGATTACATTGTATATTGTAATATTAAAGAATTTCTTATAAACTTTTTATTCTCAAGCTAATTTTTGTGAAAATTTGTGTTTTTTTTTAAATCCTTAATTTGTTACTTAATGCTTTTACTTGTATCACTAGAACTCTATCTCACAATGAAACATTTGGAAAGGTAAATTTCTCCAGTAAACTATTTGAAAAATAAATCACACATTTTAACTGTATATGCCCAACTTGGTTATACTAAACTTGTTATATAGATGATATAATCAATCACATTGAACAACGATCCATCATAGTGAATACTAGTTTGATCATTTTTCATTCATACATCACATCTTCTTATTTTTATATTGTATATCATGTATATCAAAAACTATTTTCATATACAAAATTTGTAATAAGCAAGTAATCATATGAATGTAATCTTAAAGTAATCTAAAAGTAATCATGATTACACCTGTTTTTTACATTGTAATCGATTAAATTATGATTACTTGTAATCAGAAATTGCATGATTACTGATTACATGGGATTACATTGCAAAATGTAATTGATTACAGCTGATTATGATTACCCCATGCCTGTCTGTAACACCTTCAAACAATATTGCAGAGAGTGGCAAAATGCATATGGGATATCCTTAATGCATACATGCAGAGTTAAAAAAATCAGGAAGTTGATAAAGATCTTTTAAAATAAGTTCAAATGCAGTGTGATACACAATGGCCAGTTTTCCATTTGATTCTCAGTACATACGGGTGTCATACAAGGATGTGTATTTGTTAATAGGTGTATGAGATCAAAGCTAGGAAAAGGAAACACCAGAATTACATTTTGCAGATGACATTTGTAATTATCTAGTAATAGAGTCCAAATACAAAAGATTGAAAAAATAAACAACCAGAAAAACAAAATTTATGTCAATGTACAACCAAGCAAACAAAACACTAATCAAGATTGAAAACTATTACCTGAAGAAATAGAAGCTAGACTTCACATACTTAACAAACAATGCAGTGTAATAAGCAGCAATACTGGGACCCACAAAGACATTTAAGCAAGATTAAGTAAAGCAAGGGCATTCTTTTTCAAATGAGACCAATTTGCAACCTCATCACCACAACAAACTCAAAATTTCCACAACAATATGAAATTTGTACTGTTACACAGCTAAGATTGTTGGAGAATAATACAAACTAACTTCAACTAATTGGCTGCATTCAACATGTTCAACAATACAGGATGTTACGAAAATTCAACAAAATATATTTTGACCCAATATAACATGTATAATAACTAATCCTATAAACTATACAAACTAACATTTATACAAAGAGACATTAGAGAAGAAATCAAAATTAGAGGATGAAAATGTATTGGTCATATCTTTAGCAAAGAACAAACACGCATTACAAAAGTTTCACCGAGATGGACTGTCCACTGGAGAGGACTAAAAGAAACATAAAGTAGAACAGTTGAAAGTAAGATGAAAGACAGAGGGTTATGGAGAGAGTTGGTGTTGGCGTTTAGTGCACCAATGCATGTCAGAAGATTAAGGAAAAATAATTTGAATCTTATTTCAACAAGTAAGATTAATTCTGTCTTGCACAAGAGGATCCCCTGACTGATACAACTGAGCCATTGCTTTTGATTGTCTCGTTATGACCTGGTATATCGTACTCTGTATTTGGATGTTCTAATTCCCCTCTTTAATCATGTTAATATTATATAATATAGGTGTTGTATCTACTTCATTGAGAGGCTACTGACAGTAGCTACAAGACCAACAAAATGTTGGAGATAAATGAATAAAGATTGCTGTTACCCTAGTCCAGATAATTATGCAATCATGATTTTTTTTTATTCCTCATTGACCACAGAAAGTCGCCAAAGCAAAAAATTAAAATAGCCTTCCAAGACGTCATGATTATTTTGACTACTGTTACCCATTAAACGCTGATATATTATAATTCTTACTAAGAATACTTCTAGACTAAATACTTTTTCAATTAGAGTAGTGGATCAGTGGAATAACCTGTCAGATTTAACAGTGAGGGCAAACACTTTAAATAGTTTTAAGTCAGCGTTAAAATTATATGGCGAAAATTGGAACCCGTATAAATCTATAAGTTCGTGTTAATATTGTTAAGCTGCGCACACCTAAATAAGTTTTATTTTTTAATAAGTATAATATATATATATATTATTATGGGATGAGAAATTGCATTACGACATTCCATGACGAGGGGTCAGTTGAAGCTATTGGCTTATTGAAGGACCCGAAGATAAAGGTATAAAGGTATAAAGGTGTAATACCACCAAATCATAGTACGTCACATCCGGTTGCATACGAAAATAGGTCGAAAAAAAATATTCCCTTGAATTTGACAGTTGTAGGTAATTGATCCTACATTTCATTGCAGTAAAACATTTCTGAGTCATAAACATATATCTTGGGTATTTCAAAGCACCATTATTTCTTTATTTGGGTTTTCTATAGAATATTTTGGAAACTTGAGGTTACATGGTTACTAAAGCTTGTACACAGGTTAAAAAAGGGGGAAAATTTGATTGGTTAACTTCCAGTGATGGTTATTTTCTTATATGCAATGAAATGTTATGTGAAATTTTTTCTATAGTACTGGACAGGATAAAACTTTACTCATGCCAAGTATTTCTTTATTTGAAACAAAGATAAATTCTGCACAATTTTTTGAAAAGTGCAAATTTAACAAAGACTAATAGGGGAAAATCAATGGTGGTATTACACCTAATATGGGAAGCTGTACATGCACCTTTGACCTTGTGAGTACTCTCATGTGTTAAAATTTCTTGCTATTTAAGTGAAATATTACAAATAATGAAATATTCTGAGTGGATTGAGTCTCCAAAATACATTTTATGAGAAAATTTCCTTGAAATAGGACTTTACCATGAATATTAGTAGACAGAACAAGCCATACTTAGAGTCTTTGGGAGCTTTTTCTCCTTATTTCTTATATTCTGCTATACTAGAAAAATTTTCCTAAGAAATACTTTAATAAATATATAGTTTTAAGTAAATGAAATTATTTTTAAAGCAGTAACAACAAATTATTCAACAAAAGAGAAGTTTTTTATGTCCCTCTCTGGAACGCGGCGTAAATTTAAGTTTTACGCAAGGACTTATTGAAACCTCCTTGGAGACAGTAAACTTTTATATGGATAGTTCAAGCAGCTTGAATACTTCAATTAATCATTTATAATAACATTCCTATCATAAATGAGTGAAAGTTACCCCAAAATTTTTATTTATTGGCCTAAAAAGTAGAAATTTTGAGGAAATGAGAGGTATAAATGGACCAAAAGAGACTTTATAAGGAAGAATAAGAGGTCCATTAGTAGTATTTATCATCCTAAAGTCATCTTTTGTATCATATTCAACTGTTTGTAGGCAGATGAGATAAATATTTGATCATTTATTGGTCCACACTATATTCTATCATGATGCGGCTTGGTTTGAATTTTTCGAAGAAATTTTGCTCGAATCGCTGTAGATGTCGTCTTACATTATACTAGATTTTTCTCAAACTATTGAACTGATTATGACAAAACTTGACAGGAATGCTTGAAATAACCAGTATTACAAAGGAAAAAAGTCACATTCAGTTTATTCAACAAAAAAGTCTTCTTTAGGTGTAATACCACCAAATCATAGTACGTCACATCCGGTTGCATACGAAAATAGGTCGAAAAAAAATATTCCCTTGAATTTGACAGTTGTAGGTAATTGATCCTACATTTCATTGCAGTAAAACATTTCTGAGTCATAAACATATATCTTGGGTATTTCAAAGCACCATTATTTCTTTATTTGGGTTTTCTATAGAATATTTTGGAAACTTGAGGTTACATGGTTACTAAAGCTTGTACACAGGTTAAAAAAGGGGGAAAATTTGATTGGTTAACTTCCAGTGATGGTTATTTTCTTATATGCAATGAAATGTTATGTGAAATTTTTTCTATAGTACTGGACAGGATAAAACTTTACTCATGCCAAGTATTTCTTTATTTGAAACAAAGATAAATTCTGCACAATTTTTTGAAAAGTGCAAATTTAACAAAGACTAATAGGGGAAAATCAATGGTGGTATTACACCTAAAGGACTGTATAGATAATTTAAACAATTTAATGTAACTGAACAAATTAAGGACTGCGAATATAGTTCAGGTGTACACATACCTGGTGCATCTTTTGTGTAACACTTCTGATGATTTACATGAGACATCTTAGATACAGTGAGGAAATTTGGTACCTGGCAACTTTTATGCTGAAACTTAGTAAAAGCAACATAACTTCTCAAAGTATTGCAAATGACTTTGTTCATCCTTATAGAACAATTTCAGAGTGCGAATGTTAATGACACCAAGATTTAAACCAGTTTCAGTGACACATAGTATATATTGAATTTTATCTAGTCATATCTTGTATTACAAGGGTGATTACTCCAGTCAACTTTTCTATTGATGCACTTACCTACACAAATATTTTTCATGTCCTTTCCGTTATTGGGATTAAGTTTTTATTGCTTCTCGGGGTTTTTCTTTGGTATTTTGAGAAAACTACCGAGTGACCACGTTAGCGAGAAACTTCCTGTCGGTAAATGACAAAGCAACAACATGAGCTCTATTGGAACTGGTGTAAGTTAAAAACTACACAATTTAGGGAATTATCTACCGCGGTGTACATCTTCAAAATACTCTTTGAGAAAAAATTCAAAGTCTGCGTGTCTTTTATCTACTTTGAGTTTTTGAAAAAATAAGATATTTACACAATTTAGTGCCTTCCATTTACTGTGTGTATATAGAGGTAAGGTTCAAAAATGCTCCAGATTTCACTCAACAATGTAAAATATATCATCAAAAATTTAATAAAAGATGTCAGTTCTATACAGAATTCTGCATGATCAATATGCAGAATGACTCAATGAGAGTTTCAAATTCCTAACACAAAAATTATATGTCTACACCACAGAAAATTATCCATGACAACACGAAGGAGGCTGGCCAGTGACTTTGTTTGTCCTGTAAGGTTATTCATTTATGTTATGGTAATTAAATGAGCAGTCCTACAGTATGACCATAATTACAAGATTAAACGGTATAGCAAAATACCTGGACTAAATGGGAGTTGAACAGAATTTTGTGATTTGTAGGGGAATATATATATAATAACCTTTATTTCAAACTTTAACAATAAATTTATGTCAGGGGCAACTTAGTGGAAAATCACTACAAAGTCATGCTTTGATGACAACCTTCCTGAACATAAAGATATTCTCATGGAAAGTGCTAAAACACTCTTGAAATGATAGAAAGACTACTATTTGGGTTTACATGTATGTGTCAATTTTTACTCACAACAAAACTCATTTGACTTCAGAAGAAGATTTTTGTTGCCATTATGCAATATTATTTGATTTAATTTACATGTAACTATGGCGGTTGAAGATAACTCCATTTTCATTTTTGTCGAGCCTTCGACTTTAGTCGAAAAAGCGAGACATAGCGATCCTACATTCCGTCGTCGTCGGTTGGTGTCCACAAATATTCACTCTGTGGTTAAAGTTTTTGAAATTTTAATAACTTTCTTAAACTATCCTGGATTTCTACCAAACTTGGACAGAAGCTTGTTTATGATCATAAGATAGTATCCAGAAGTAAATTTTGTAAAAATAAAATTCCATTTTTTCCGTATTTTACTTATAAATGGACTTAGTTTTTCTGCCGGGAAATATTACATTCACTCTGTGGTTAAAGTTTTTAAAATTTTAATAACTTTCTTAAACTATCCTGAGTTTGTATCAAATTTGGACAGAAGCTTGTTTATGATTATAAGATAGTATCCAGAAGTAAATTTTGTAAAAAAATAAATCTATTTTTTCCTTATTTTACTTTTAAATGGACTTAGATTTTCTGCCAGGAAACAACACGTTCACTCTGTGGTTAAAGTTTTTAAAATTTTAATAACTTTCTTACACTATTTTGGATTTGTATCAAACTTGGACAGAAGCTTGTTTATGATCAAAAGCTAGTATCTAGAAGGAAATTTTGTAAAAAAATAAATCCATTTTTTCCGTATTTTACTTTTAAATGGACTTAGATTTTCTGCCGGGAAACAACACATTCACTCTGTGGTTTAAGTTTTTAAAATTTTAATAACGTTCTTATACTATTTTGGATTTGTACCAAACTTGGACAGAAGCTTGTTTATGATCAAATGCTAGTATCTAGAAGGAAATTTTGTTTTCTTCCAGTTAACATTACATTCAGTTTGCAGTTAAAGTTTTTAAACATTTATTAGATTCATAAACTATCCTGGATTTTTACCAAACTTGGACAGAAGCTTCTTACAATCAAAAGATAGTATCAAGAAGAATATTTTTATTGATTTACTTCCTCATTTTTGTTGAGCCTGCAATTTACAGAAAAAGTAGGCGAGACACTGGGTTCCGCGGGACCCTTACAAATTTTTTATCATAGCACTAAAAGAACTGTTTGAATATGAAATACAAATTTGATTGGTTAAGTATTTTGAATTTGTTATTTTTTAATTTCTCCTTGCAAGCAAAAATCATCATATAGTAATAGTAATTTCAATGGTCTGTTCATAAGTTAAAAGAATTGATAGAGTTCATACAAACAAACATATTATTGTTACATGTACATAATGAAATTGCATTCTAGCAACAAAATTCATTTTTATGAAGTCAAGTGAGTTTTGTTTTTGAGTAAAGATAACAGATAACAATTGCAATAAAAATGCTAAGTTAAAGTGTTTTTTTCATTTCTATATTGTTTTGGCACTATTCAGTGGGAATTTGCATACATTCTAGAAGGATTTCAGCAAAATTTAGTACTAAACTCATTCCTACCTACATATGCATGCGTTCAAATTTTGAAAAGCAAAAAGATACATGTACATGATAACCCTTTTAATACTATAGCTAGATTCCTGAATCCTGACTGGCGGTTGAGTATTTCTATATTCCTGAGGTTTTATTTTTTATACATAAATATATTTCAGTATGACTTGTCAGCTTCTCAGTTTTCACCTGATGGAAGAGTTTTTCAAGTGGAATATGCATTAAAGGCTGTTGAAAACAGTGGGTAAGTGATTTTGTCAGGTGATATAAAAAATAAATAGTGTTTAAAAAGATTATGATTTTCAACTGCCCACTCAATTGTCAAATCTAATGAGAGAGTTTACTGAAACAGTACTAATCATTAATCATGTTAATGGCTTGTTCATGCATTCACAGAGTTTCATGGCAGACTTTCAGTTTCAAACTGTGTAAAACTATTTGTACATTTTATTTACTTTCTACCAAACTATTGAATTGCATGTATATACACTTACACACAAGGTGATTCAGTAAAAAAATAATTTTGGCTGGTATTATGTGATTCACTGTAATACAGGATAGTATATTGCTGAATATGGCAGATGTTAGGACCCTGTCTAGTTTTAACCTTGGAATACATTGTTATGTTTGCAATATTATATTCGTTTTGGAGAACAAACTATGAATCTACTCACAATACTTTAGATTCTGAAATGAATAGTTGCTTTAGCATGTTTAGGGGTAATGATGTGAGGAAAGTGGCAGATTAAACCTAGCTTTTCCAAAGAGATTTTGATTAGGTCATTAAAAATATTCAATGATGAATTTTCATCCACATGTGTCTTTTTTCATTTTAGCACTGCTATAGGAATACAGGGAAAAGATGGTGTAGTATTTGGTGTAGAGAAGTTAGTAACATCTAAATTATATGAAGCTGGAGCTAACAAAAGGATCTTCAATATAGACAGACATATAGGAATGGTAAATTTGTCTTGAAGTCCAAAAAGTTTGTCACTAGTAAAAAAAAATAGTTTATTATATATGTATGACCATTGATAAAAATGCGAGTTAAGGTGGTACCCAACACCTTGACTTATATCAATTTGGCTCGTTTAATTTTCATAAAATTTTGACAAAATGTTTACTTTGACCCTTTGACAAAAATATAAAAATTTCAAAAAATTTGAACCAACCACTTTATCAGAAAAATTTCGTTGGTTATATAGCAGTTTGACAAACCCATATTTTGATCATTGAGAAGCTTAATATTGCCTTAACAATACAACGTAATTAAAACGTTTAGCTGATTTTTACAGAGTTATCTCCCTGTAGTGTTAGGTACCACCTTAAGAAATGTTTGGTCTGAAGATACATAAGGGGCAATTCAAAATCATGAATTTTAAAAAGGACAGAAACAACACAGTCAAAAGGCAAACAACTGTCCACAAACAATTACACCTAACACTAATCAAGACTAAGCCACAAAACTATGAAAACCAGAGGGGAACTGAGGCTCTCCAGAAAGTTAGGGGTTTATTTGAGAAATTGAAAAAAAATATTTGAAACCTTCCTAATTTAAGCTTCTTGTTTGATATTAAATCTTGACATTTTCCAATATAAAAACACTAATCATATAGAATACTTGAAATCATGGTTAACTTATACTAGTGTATTTATGTTTTAACCAATTAAATTAACTTACATTACTTTAATCATGTTTATCTTCAGGCTGTAGCTGGTTTATTAGCTGATGCCAGATCTATTGTAGAAACTGCCAGAGATGAAGCATCAAACTACAGATCAAATTATGGTTCATCTATACCTTTAAGAGTAAGTAAAAAAAAGATAACTGAGGTATGATTTGGTATCATGTGTATGTTCAAGAGTAAACCAAAAATGTAAAAAGGTGTGAGATTTGGTATCATCTACATGTACTTAGAATATTTTCATATCAATAAAAAAAAAAAGGAAACAATGAACAATTTGATATTATCTATACATTTAAGAGTTAGTCACAAATATTGAATATTTTATGATTGAGTACTTGGTCTATACAGTTATTTTTGCAATTTATTGATAACTCAGAAACCAATATTAGTAGTCACCCAGTCATCATTTATTTGTGTAGTGTGACAAAGACTTCTTATCATTGTGGCTGACCGTGCGAGGGCTGTATAGCCAGTCAAGGTCGTTAAAAACTTCCATCATCATCATTGTGGCACAATTGGTGACTAAGAATTTGAAATTTATAATTGATAAGGAGTCTGAGAGCAGATCCCAAAGTCAAACATTTATAATTTTCATGCTTATTTCATATGTTATAATCTCAAAATATTAGCTGCAGTCATATCGACAAACTTTTGTGAAGCATAGACTGTATTAGACATTAGGATGTTTATTACTGCAAAATAGGAAACTACATAATTGACTGTCTAGTCAAGCAAACAATTTTTTTTTTCAGCATTTAGTCGACAGAGTTGCTATGTATGTTCATGCTCACACATTATACAGTTCAGTGCGACCTTTCGGTGTTAGTGCTATCCTGGGTTCATATGGTCAACAAGATGGTCCTCAGATGTACCTTATAGATCCATCTGGTGTTTCATGGGTAATATTTTTTATTGATTAAAAAATAGATGACTAAAAACAACAGAAACTTTAAGAACTGATTTTAAAAATTCTCCAAACATTTCATTTTACTGATACCGGTATATTATTTGTTCAGACTTTCCCCAAATATAAAATGATGTGTACATGATCTAATAATGTTTATGATCTAAATTTTGATTCAAGGAAAAACATGAATTTGAGATTAAAAGTGCTGTTTAAAATACACCAGACTGAAATAAAATATAAGTTTTTGACTTAAATCACTCACTAAGGTAAAAAAAAAATATGAACTTTTTAGTGATATTCAACTCAACATTCCATGTTTCTATTCTCACCCATCACAATGCTTTAGGAGGTAGATTTAACTCTTTTCTGTTTATATAGAACGCTGTCTAGATTCATCTGAATATGGTCAAGTTCCATTTCACGGAAACTCATAATGAAAAACCAATTATCTCTCAATTTTACATTTTCATTACTATGATAAGTTGGTCATTATGACCAACATTTTATATAAAGATTTGAATTTGAATGTTGTGTTCAGCTTTTAAACTTTGGAAATCATTTATTATGCACCAATGATATTTCCACCCAACAGTTGTCTTTGATGGTATGGCACGATAAAATTATATACCTTCTAAACTATCATGTCCTACACTTTTAAAACATGATTTATAATTTTTATAAATGAATAGGGATATTATGGTTGTGCCACAGGCAAGGCAAGACAGGCAGCTAAGACAGAAATAGAAAAATTAAAGGTATGGTACATTTAAATATCTTCATTACATATTTTCCTATGTCTAGAAGATTTCTAGAGACAAAACATTTATCAAATTTAGCATAGTCTTATGTTTTTGATGTAAATATTTCTTTGACACATCATATGTAATGTGAGAAATATCAAATGGCATGTATGATAATTTGTGAAGGGTAAACATGAGAGGACCGACTGTATGACTTAAGGTCTGCCTCTTTGAAGGAGTTCACTCTTGATTTTTTATGAAAAAAGCAAAATATTAAAAAGTATTAATAAATATGAATTCTGGAATATAGAGGCAAAAAGGTTAGCTATAAGATGTTTCCAAAAAAAATCCCAAGAACTTGTACCTTTTTTTTAACTGTTGACATTTAATCAGTGTGCAGTTAAAATGGCAAAAGACAGTGAAGAGCTAGATTTAAGGACTAAAGTTTACTAAGTGTATGTAAACTTACCATATTTAAGTAATAAGGTACATTGATTTGTATGTTTATACAGATATTCAGTAAATAATGATTTAGTACACTTGGCAGTACTGTGTTTGCAAAGAGTCTTAAGATATGATAAATTATCACATGGATGTATACACATGACAAAACAAAGTTATATAACATTAGGAAATAAGCAGTTTTTCAAGGGAACATTATTTCCATAGTTGCTTATTTTTCAGTTCTATTTATAATACTTTTCAGATGAAAGACATGCCTATAGTTGATCTGGTGAAGGAAGTAGCAAAAATGTAAGTAAAGTGTAGATTTAATGTTATCAAGTACATTCACACTTACCTCACTGGCACCTATATATATATAGCCAGACCCTATCCATCAACATATATTTTCAAAAAAAATCTGGTTTGTCATTCCAAGTTATTGGAATTTTTACAGTCATATTTGAGGCAATATTTCTATGCCTAAGAGTATCCTCATGCATGTTTTTCTACAGAACCATTTTATTTGCTTCTGATTAAATGCCTGTTTGATATCCCATTTATCAATATGCACAATAAGGGTGTATGATGTGCTTTTTTCTCTGCTGCTTATTAGACATTTCTAGCAATTTTTATAAAAGTCAGGATAAAATATTAAAAAGAAAAACAAACTCTTGCCTCCCTCATGATTTTGTTGAATGAGAATCTCAAAAGAAATTTTTGCATTGCCCGTTAATTTTCCAATTACTTTATTCTCTTTTTTTTCAGTATATATATTGTTCATGATGAAGTGAAAGACAAAAACTTTGAGCTAGAATTAAGTTGGGTTGGAGAGAGTAAGTACTTTTATAGCTGTATTCATTAAAAGTGTGTTTATATGTGTATTCTGCATCTGAAAACGGCAGCATATATATAGTGTCAGATTTTTTTGTAAAATTAACTGTAAATCCTTTAGAGCATTAAACAAAATTGGTCTTTATAGATTATTCAGTTTAATTTACATTGAATATAGTTTACATTGATCAAATTAAAGATACTGAATATGCAGTTGAAGGGAGATAATTCATCAGATTATCTGGAAATAAAATTTGATAGAGTTCATTAAAAAAGTTTCCCAAAAAGTGTGAATGATTTGTATGAAAGGAATTCTTTGTTGTAAAATTTTACATTCATTTTGAGGTAAGAAAAATTATTTTTGCTTTTAATATTTCCTATAGAAAAAAATATTAAATGAAAGCATAGTACAGAGGTTTTGTGATAAGTGATTTGTGATTAAATTTTTTTTCAGTGACTGGCGGTAAACATGAATTTGTTCCACAAAATGTTTTTGCAGAGGCTGAAAAATTTGCTAAAGTGAGTATAGTAAGACACTTACCTATACAACAATTATTTATAAAGAAATTTATTTAACTTACCATTGCTGATATTTAAGAATACTGTACACTGTTAACATCCTAGCTTTGGGTCTGGTGGATATTTGTCTCATTTACAATCATGCCACATCTGCTTATAGTTTTGGGTGAACGGGCAAGCTTTGGAATATCCCTGAAAGTTTGCAGTTGAGGTTGTAAACTATCCATTATGAAGTTGTTAAAAATTATTATTTCCTTATAGTTAAATGTTCTGTAGGCCATTCTCCATTGTTTAAGAAAAAAATCTTAATGTTGCATGATGTCACTTTACTGATCATTTGTATTTGGTTGTCATGGAGATACAAAGATAAATTTAGTTATATTACTTGTAATATTTGAATTTGAGCACAATGTATAGTACCTTTATCTGTCCTTAAGACATGATTTTTTTAACAAAGATATATCTGATTATGCATAAACATATAGAAGATTTTTCAATCTATAATTGTTTATAAAGAATGTACAATGTTAGCTAAATCTGAGTTTTTAACCTTACAGTAACAGATTCAGATATATATCATGAAAGAATTTAACTTGATGCTTTCCATAAACATGAATATTTTTGGGTATGCATGCTATATTTTTCTCAAAAGATCACTTCGGATACATTTAGGTTGAAATTTAGTTAAAATTTCCATGATATATTGCACCTTCAAGGCACATGAAGCACACTATCATAAATATTCAAATTACAATAAAACAAAGGCATACAACATGTACAATAAGCAATTCATTACTAGATGATATTGATTTACCTCAACTTAACTTTTGATAGAATGTTATTTTGTTTTTGCATCAATTGATAAATGAATAATTCTGTTTTTCAGGAGGCTCTGGAAGAATCGGATGATTCAGATGAAGAAGATCTGTGATATTGATATTACTTATTATATCATTATTAACTCTAAAAGTAGTGCTATTGATATCATCTACATCATAAACAGTTACCAATTTGTACTCATGTTGTTAGAATTGTGACGTTTGTGTCCATTAAATTTGAAGTAATATGTTTGGTTTCTTTCTTAATGATGAAACTTTATCTTGTATGGAGAAATCTTTACCTCACCTGTAAGGCCAGCTGAGCATTTGCTAGTACTTGGCATCCATTTTCTTGTGTCTTGTCATCCATAAATAGAAGACCCCTACCAAGATTCCCATTTAATGTTGATTGTGTGGAAAATTTCCGATTCGAAAAATATGCCATATAAAGGAACCATACTTTCATCTTCTTGAATACCAGGTCAATTTTAACCGGACAATAATGATGTTTGCAATTGAATAGAAAAGAAAGGAAATAGTGTTTCAATTCATGACACTAAATCATTTATGCACTTGAAAAACCAAAAGCAAAAGATCAGCACTATTAGTGAAAGCTTGTCTAAAAATAATTCTCTCATTTGATACCAATCGGTTGAAATTTGCATCTTCCTGGGGCCATTAATGAAAAATCTAAACATGCGGAACCATCATATGACGGTCATTTCTCAGAAATACAGTTTTATGGTACCAATGGCTCTCCATACTTTTAGAGGTATGATATCTCTTTAGAAACTAATGCATTTTCCGTCAACCTAAGGCTATTTATTGTAATGTTACTCAAGTTTAAGGTGCAGTTTGAACCCAAATACAAACTTTTGAAAATTGAAATCAGATAAAACTGTTTTTTCTGGAGGGGTGGACTTCCCTTCTGTGTCTGGACCACAGAGTACAGAGGCCTAAAACTTCCAAAATCAGGGTAAACCTGCAGGTTTATGACTACTGATTGTGTTTATTATTTAATTTTACATAGGGAATGACTACTTTCGGTTCCAGGTCCATGTGAAGCTTAAAATCTGGGAAAATCAGAAAATTTCTGAATTTGAGTTGAAATAACCTTCTTTATAGACTGCCATACCCAGATCAGTTTCAATCCGACACAATCACTTTTGCAGAGTACAGTGAGAAACATCTATCAGCACAATGGGTCTTCCAGATCAAGAAATAGGATGAAAAATTGTCAAAATTTATGCTATTACATGAGATGGCTTTTAATATAGTATATTCCAGTATTGTGTTACTTGAAGATGTTTTTACAGTCTGCAAACCCAATATAATTATGTTAAATGCTGATTCTTGACTAAATTTAAATCTTTATTTGTTTATTCTGTATCCTTTGTTTTACCACTATTCGCACTAATGAGAAATAATAGAAAGGTTGAGAAACAAAAAACTAGTTTAATCCTACCACACAAGTCTAGAACCTTAGCTTTCAGTAATATCAGTGGTTATTGTTGTTTTTTTTATGTTTTTGTCCACTTCAGGATACTGGGTTATTTATTAACTGTTCCACTTGAAGCATAGAGTTGCTGTGTCGGACATTGAACTCCCCCTTGCATATCATTGATTGTTTTAAATAGTATGCATGCTTTATTTACTTGCCTAAAAATTTATCTGTGGGATGGCTAGTTAAGCCCCATACACATTTGGAACATTATGTCCACCCCTTATTTCATTAGTGGTTATTATTGTTGGGTTAAGGTGTCATTTATTCATATTTACCCCACATGACCTATTATTCTTAAGATTGGAAGTTAAATTGCACTTTCAATATTCATGTAAAAACTTGTGGGACTGGTACAGGTTTGCCACCTGGACCTTAAATCCATACTTTGACACTGCCTCGGTGGTCTTGTGTTTGCCTCAAGTGTGGGAGGTCTTTGTTCGAACCCCCTCCGGGTCAATCCAAAGACTTCAAAATTTGGTATTTGCTGCTTCTCTAATAACCACACAGCATTATGGAGTAAGAGCAAAGACTGGTCGGCTCATAGTTGGAATAAAGTGTCCGGGTAAGGTGACATGCCTTCCTGCTGGCTGTAACCTTTTGAACTAGCACGTTAAAAGTCCGGCTCAGCGTTTCTGTCTAGTACAAAGCAATGGTAAATATTCATATCACATTAACATGTTCTCGTCCTGAAATATCATATTATTTAGCAGCTGGACGTTAAGCAGCCATCCATCATCATCATTATACTGTGACATCTGTGTTACTGTGGATTCTTTTATTTTTTTTTGTGGATTGAGGAAAAATTGTAATTATATATATATCTGATTTCATGGTTTGCCATAGCCTGCATACAAGTCTATAGAAAATTTAACTTCGTTGAACATAAAAATTGGGGGATTAACCTTTACTTACGAAATCCACAAAAATTGGTATCCTATGTATGAAACTGAATCTCAGTACCGGTAGTCAAACCCCTGAAATGTCACATTATATTTACAGATAATAACTATGTAAAATGTATGTATATATTCAAGTATTTTTATATGCCTCCATATTTTTTAGTTGTATTTATAGAATGATTACCACAACGAGGTAGTACATGTAGCATCCGACCTCTAATCATTACACAGGTTATGTCTTCAGGACTCGGAGGGTCCTCAGTGGCCCAGTGGTCTAAGTAGTCGAACTACTGTATCACTAGCCAGACAACACTGAGGTTGTGAGTTCGAATCCCGCAAAGGGAGGTGCACTCGACTCCAATCTAAATTAACTAAGATTGTCAGTTTTCCTACCAAAGGTAGGTGGTTCTCTCCGGGCACTCTGGCTTCACCAATAAAAACTGACTGCCACGAAAAAGCACAATAGTGTTGAAAGTGGTGTTAAACACTAATCAATCTTCAGGACTCTCTGTCCATTGTTGATGAACAAAATCCACCAACTATGAACTTCTCATCTGCTAGAAATTTCAATGTTTTTTCTAAAACAAAAATATCAAAGTACAGAAATCTCCTGGTATCTTTTTTTTCAAAGCACTACTCATATTCTAGGTACCAGATTTTAGATAGCTTTACACAAATAACTAGACTTCTTTTACTCTGACATTAAAAACAATAGTGCACAAACTGAAACTGTCATGCCTGTTTTACTTATGATTGAATTTATGTTCAAAGTTTGTAATATGAAGGTTTTAGGGAGCTACCATTTGATTTTTATGGGGGGGCTAGGATGAAATTTTAATAAAAAAGGCAGGACAGGAGTTGTTGAGTAAAAACAAAAGGAAGGATGAGCAACTTGGCAAAAAAAAAGCAGGATGACAATTTATGTAAAAAAAGTCAGGATAAACTAATAAAAAAACATGCAGGATTGAATAGAGTGAAAAATAAAAAGGCAGGACAGAGATTACAACTAAAAAAAAATGCAGAACAAAATTTTTCATCCTAGCCCCCCCCCGCCATAAAAATCAAATGGTAGCTCCCTTACTACAAGTATCACCTAAACTTAACACTATCAATGTCCATGAAAATGATGTCAAGGTCATATGAATCCTGCCAGACAGACATGTATACCTTGCAATCATTTCATACACCAAATATAGTTGATCTATTGCTTATAATATCTGATAAACTGACAAATCATGAAAACTTAACATTGACCAATGAACCATGAAAATGAGGTCAAGATCATATTAAAGCTGCCAGACAGACATGTACACCTTACAATCATTCCATACCCAAAATATAGTGGCCCTATTGCATATAGTATCTTAGAATTAGACCAAACCACAAATACTAAACATTGTCCACTGAACAGTGAAGTCAAGGTCAGATGAAACCTGCCAGTTGGACATGTACAACTTACAATCATTCCATAAACCAAATATAGTTGAGTTGACCTATTGCTTATAGTATCTGAGATAAAGACTTGACCACGTAAATTTAACCTTGATAACTAATCCATGAAATGAGGTCGAGGTCAGGTGAACCCTGTCTGACAGACATGAAGACCATGAAAAAGATACCAAATACCAATTACAGTTGTCCTATTACTCAAAATATATGACACTATACAAAAAACTTATTTGTGTTCAACCAGTCACTGAACCATGAAAATAAGGTCATCATCATAGACATGTGACAGACTGAACTTTGTAACATAAAGTATCTGCATACAAGGTATGATGCATCAAGGTCTTCTACATTCTGAAATATAAAGCTTTCAAAATATTTTAGGCCGCCGACACTGCCATTGCATCCCTTATAATGAAGTGGCACATTGAACATGTGCATCTTGGCACATCCATGGGATTAAAACCCATTTCATTTTATATGTTTTTAAAGGGGCATTAGCTGTCAAATTCATGTTCACCAATTAGACTCAAATTCTCATATTTGATTTATAACATACTAAAATGTGTATCAAAATTACAATAAAATGCTCCGCAGGGCGCAGCTTGATACGACCGCAGAGGTCGAACCCTGAACAGTTGGGGGAAGTATGGACACAACATTCAAGCTTGATACAGCTTTGGATTTGGATTGTGATTAAATATTTGACACAGCATAGGTTTCTAACACAGATTGAATGTGGTCTAAGAACTTAAAAATTTTAAATTGGACATTCACCTATTATGGTCCAATATCCAAAATCTTAATACATGGTTAGATTCAGCATATCAAAGAACCCCAAGAATTCAATTTTTGATGAAATCAAACAAAGTTTAATTTTGGACCCTTTTGACCTCAATGTGGACAAAGTTGATAACGGGGCCCAAAAATCAAAAATCAAAATACATGGTTAGATTCAGCATATCAAAGAACCCCATATATTCAATTTTTGTTGAAATCAAACAAAGTTTAATTTTGGACCCCGATTTGGACCAACTTGAAAACTGGGCCCATAATCAAAAATCTAAATACATGTTTAGATTCAGCATATCAAAGAACCCTAAGAATTCAATTTTTGTTAAAATCAAACTAAGTTTAATTTTGGACCCTTTGGACCTTAATGTAGACCAATTTGAAAACGGAACCAAAAATTAAGAATCTAAATACACGGTTAGATTCGGCATATCAAAGAATCCCAAGAATTCAATTTTTGATGAAATCAAAGTTTAATTTTGGACCCTTTTGACCTCAATGTGGACAAAGTTGATAACGGGGCCCAAAAATCAAAAATCTAAATACATGGTTAGATTCAGCATATCAAAGAACCCCATCTATTCAATTTTTGTTGAAATCAAACAAA